TGCCAAGTAACCAGCACATTTTCTTAAATTTTGTATCTAACTCTTGTCTTTTTTTTAACATGGACCTTTCAGCGAAGTCTTGCATCCAATATAATACCTAGATATTTTGCTGAGTTAACATAAGGGACCTGAGCATTATTTATGTTAATTGGTATTCTTTGACCATTTTTGTTAGTAAAATTAATATTAACAGATTTGGTTTCCTTTAGTTTAATACGTCATCTTTTGGTCCAATTATTTATTTCATTAACTAATGTTTGCAGTTTATTTGCAGCTTCTTCATAATCTTTGCCTATCGCTAGGATGGCAGTATCATCTGCAAATGTAACTATTATGTCTTGTTCTAGTTGAGGTATGTCACATGTGTATAAAAAATACAGAGTGGGTCCCAGGAGGCTTCCCTGTGGTACTCCTGCTTTAATTTCATTTAATTCAGAGTATGCTTCATCTTGTTTTACTCTAAAGAATCTATCTAAAATGTATGAATCCAATAGCTCTGAGTATGGCTGTGGAAGTAAGACATTCAGTTTATGTTTTAAGCCTTACAAAAGTTTGAATATACAGGGTGTTTCATAATATATGCGCAGGACTTCAGGACGTGATAGCTCGTCTAAAAATATGAAAAAACGTGTCCATTAACTTACCCTCTAAAATGCACCATTTTCGAGAATTGAAAAAAAAAATTCTACGCCACTGGAAAAAGTACGGTTTTGAGACGCCCATTTGAACCGCCAATATTTTCTACACAAAAAAGGTACTCTTGGTCATATGCTCTAAAGTTGACCGTTTCCAAGAAAAATCAAATTTTAATGTTGAAATACATGGTCAATTTTTTCATTTTAAGAAAATACATAGTCTGGACGGTATTTTCTTAGGCAACCCTTTTGCGGTATATTTATAAACATATTTTTTTTAATAAAAAGAAACTTTCATCCATTAAATAGATGGGTGAAGGTCGACACCTTACTTCGGATCTTAGACTAAGAGAAGAAAATCGGCAGCATTTTGAGAGCAGAGGCATACGAATTTTTGCGAAAATTAATTCCACACGAGATGACAAACCAGTAAACAAACAAAAAAAAAAAAAAACGCAGAGCGACATTTGCAAAATATCCGTTTTGCTTTAAACAAAAAAGGTGAAAAATATATCATTTTTAATATTTAGGCTAAAAAAAGTTTGGTAATTTTAAAGAGATTCTTTTAGCAGCTTGGCAAAGAAAAATGGACAACACCCACTAATAATAAAAAAAAAACATTTAAGGTGATTACAGCACCCCCTTTTAGTTTTCGGACAAGCATATCTCATTTTTTTAAAAAACTAAAATGTTGACAAAATATATAAGGCAATATTATCTAGAATACACATATACTTTAAAGTTTTAAATCCTTATAGTTTCCGCGAAAAAAAAATCAAAGGGCTTTAAATTTTAAAATATCATATTGAAAATAAATGCATTCCTCAACAGCACTATTCTTAATACAATCCCAAAATTTGAGCTCTTAATGGAACGCGTTTGTAACTATCGTATCGTATATTCTCAGTCAAAATTCGTTTTCTAAAATGATTTACACCAGTTTACACCAGAAGATAGCACTTAACGAGGCGTTTTAAACACTAATTTTGGCGAATTTTAAAAAATCATTATTAAGACGTTAAGAGCTTAAATTTATGGAATACATTAAGAATATTTCTGTTAAGGAATGCATTTATTTTTATCATATTTCAAAATTTAAAGTCCTTAGATTTTTTTTTCGGAAACAGGAAGGAATTAAAACTCTAAAATATATGCATATTCTAGATATTATTGCCTAATTTACTTTGTCAAAACTTTAATTTTTTTAAAAAATTACTTTTTGAGATATCCTTGTCCGAAAATTATGAGGGGGTGCTGTAATCACCTCAATGCACAACTCTTGCCCACTTGTTAGGAAGAGTTTATTAAGAAAATAAAATGATATAACCAAATTTGCGATATTTGAGAGTTTTTTGCTTAAATAAAACAAATAATTTTCTTTTAACCTTTTTATTATGAAACATGTTTTAATGAAAGAACCTCGCCCAAATACGTATGAAAATAGCTCTCAGTTAATTTTGATAATGATTTAGAAAATTATAATACAAGTTAAATGTGCAAATTTAAATCAGTTTCTATGTCTAGTTTTGTAGATATGAATTTTCGAAAATAATAAAAATGGCTGTTTACCTATTAAAAAGTATTACCACAAATTATAGCTTAAGAATCAGTTAGCTCACTCGGGCCAATTGGATGTTCCAAAATAACATTCACTCCAGGGATACAAATGCAGGATGCGCAGAAGACTGCTGTTTTAATATAGGCGGTTGTCATATATTGTATTAGGCATTTCAAACAAATGAACTGCCAGTGGGAGTATTTGATATATCCAAGGGTTGCGACATACGATGTATTCTGTTTACAATACGTAAAATCATGAATAATGGATTACATTTAAATATTTTATGTCAAACACAATAAAAATAATAATCAAAATAAGAAACCGCTTATACATTTTTTCATAAATAAGCAGGCTTGGTGACTATTATTTCAAATAAAAAAAGCGGTCAAGATTCAAGATTATGTCGCTACCCCCTTAGATATACCAGACCTTCTCACTGGCAGCTATTCTTTGACAGATCGTTGGAATGTCTAATTGGTTATAGTAAGAGAGCTCACTGCAAATTACGGCCGCCATCTGATAACAAAATGAAATATGCTCCAAAGACATGTAACAACATTGTATTTTACCAAATTTCACCTGTGCCAATCTATCCTAAGCAAAGTGTTTAAAATTTTTTTTTATGTTCAAAAAATTCTATAAGACATGACAGCGATAATTGTGTTTTCCCTGAAAATTACAATCCCAATTCATTGTGAACCTAGCTTTTAAACCTGAATTATTAATATTTCTACCTATCTTTTAAAGCATGTGTATGTGTGAAAGGAAAAAGTATGGCATTGTATAAATCATTTGCAGATATAGTCAGTATTATTTATAAACTCTTGTTAGACAGTTCTAATAATAATATATAAGGAAAGATGGAGATTGCCGCTTTTGCTATTCCCTTTGAGAAATTGCCATGTTTGATTCTAAATAATTCTAGTAGCTTTTTTGTCGTTTCTATGGCAACCTTTAAAAATAAATCACAACAACAGGCATACAAATAAATTTTTAAATCAGCAAAAATGGATTCATATTTTTACTAATCGTGTGTAGATGTTTTTGTGCGATGTTAAGAGGAAGAAAATATTTTCCGTTAACGATATATGTCAAGATATTTTTGAATATATTATTATCTGGAAAACTTTAAGGGCAAACAAAATTAGCGCTGTCTTGCCTTATATGATTTTTTTAATATAAAATATTTTTTTTCAACCAATTTGCTCAAGATTGCGATTGGCACAGTTGCCATTTGGTAAAATACAATGTTTTTAGAAGCTTTTGGGGTATATTTTATTTTAATATCAGATGGCGGTAAAAATTTGCAGAGGGCTCTTGAGCTATTATGATTTGATTCTGTATGTGCCAGGGATACAAATCCGAGTTGCGCAATGTGTAAACTGGAACAATAAGATCAAAAGTGCCGACGCAGAGTGAGCGAACTGATTCTTAAGCTATAAACTGTGGTATTACTTTTTAGATGATTACTAACAAAATTCTGGTTTAAAGAAAGTCATTGACATGTTAGTCAGTCAGTTGTTTGACGATTTTTTATTATTGTGAAATATGTCTAGATGTTTTAATTCTTTCCAAATCCTTACTTTGCAACCTGAATTCTAGATAAGCTCTTTTTTTTTCGTTTAATTGCTTAATTGACCTCGTTACGTAATGTCTTATAATAGTCCCAATGATGTGGCTTTTTAGTTTTGTTAAATCTTTGTAGGGCTTTATCCCACAATTTCATCATAATTCTTAGAGTATCAGTAAGCCAGGGTGATTTGTTTTTGGTTATTTTGATTTTTCTTTTGGGGGCATGTCTTTTTAAACAAGTTTAAAATTATATTATTTAATTTTTAAAACAATATTGTCCGCTAATAATATTCTATTACAATCGGCGTTGAGCAGATCCTGGACAAAGTCAGTGGCATCAAACTGTTTGAAGTCCCGGAATGTGTACATAAATGGTTCAGGCTAAATAATTTGACATCTAATAGTACACGAAGGAATTGAGTGATCTGTTAAAATGGAACAGTCGCGTACTTTTATGTTTCCAGTTTTAAGATTATCTGAGCCCAAAATAAGATCAAGCAATTTTACGCCTCTTGTAGGCAGATCAATTACCTGAAGTAGTTTATAAGAGCCTTGAACAGATTGTAATAATTTACAAGGTACATTCTCCGGATCAGAATAATTGATATTGAAATCTCCTCCGGCAATAATGTAATCAAATTTGGATGCTATTTTGTTTAAACATACATCAAATTTTCTCTATAAATTGTTGAAATGGAAAATCTGAGGGTCTATAAATGGAACAAAAAGCGAAATTTTTGTTATTAGTTTTTATTGAAACCCACAGCTGTTCCGACTCAGCTTTTTCTAGGTTCAAAATATATCTACAATTAAAACATTGCCTAGCATACATAGCAACCCCTCCACCCTTCTTGTACTTTTCATTTTTAAGAATATATCCTAAATCAGCTTATAATCAATAATATTTTTAGTTTTATTAGAATGATACAGAGTAAAAATTTCAAATAAAACAGACTAATTAAAAAAATTCTAATGTTTAACATACATACTTTAGTTAAAAAGTTAAGTGATGTTTAAAAAAGAAGTATATTGTGCAACAAAATCATTTATTTAACACACTACACTTTCTCCAGAACTACAATGAATAAAATACAAATCGCACAAATTCATTGTCAAAAAAATATATTGCTACCTTATATTATATCATAGAAATAAACCTAGAAATCTTTTGTACAAAAACTTATAGTATCGAAAAGTTTTGCTTAGTTCATACGTTATTTTTGTATTTGTAGGTAAATTTCGACGATGCAATGAAATTCTGCAATTCCCAGGATATGCAATTGGCAACATTAAAAACCTCTTCTGAAAATGCCAATCTGTTGGCCCAGTTACGAGGAATTGGTGGTAAGTACCAATTGAGTAAGATATTTTAAAATGTGTGTAAAAATTTTAATTATTTGAAATACTTTCTATAATATCAATTAATTAATCAGTTTACTTCCAGTTTTATCAGAAATAACAGAAAATCATGATTTAATCTAAATGTTCAAATGAAATCCCCTGTATTTTATTAAATACTTTAATTTTTTGAATATTTAGGGGCGAAAAGAAAACTTCAAATAGTTTTATTCGAAATTAACATAACATTTACGTCATCTGTAAAAATTGTCTCTATCTTTGAATAATTATCACTCTCCCTTAGCTAATTACAATTATTTGTTTTTTATAAGAAAGATTAGGAAAAATATTTTTCCTACGACCACTTAGGAAAGTGACACATATCACACTATATAGTCCTATGGAAAGTGCCCTATATTACACGCGTATGAATAAGAATTTACTTTCCACCCGAGTGAGAATATGTTACTTTCCGCAGTAGTTGTCACAAAATGTCAAACACCTAATTTCTATTTTGATCTATGTAATGTCCATATTAATACTAAAATCGATATGATTGTTAAATTATTGAAATCGTTGTAAATTAGATCCTAGATATTTATCTTTAACAATTATTATTAAAATAATTTTAAAATAATGTTTGCTCTTTATTCTGGTTAAATACATAACCAAATAGATCATTCAGTTGACACAAGGGCTATTAGCTCAGGTGGTTAGGACGTCGAACTTATCAACTTTGCCATTTTTCGACCGCGTTCGAATCCTGGCGGGGCAGAATTTTTTTTTGTTTTTTTTTATTTTTTTTTGTTAAGAAAATTAGAAAATTGAATAAATACGATTATTGTTGATTATTTTTTTAAATACATTTTAATTATTATAATAACCTGGTTTTACATTTTTTGATGAAAATATTTTGTGGTCGTAGGAAAAATATTGTACATCACTTGTGTGAAAAGTGATTTTCCACACTTGTGTGATAGTCGCACTCGGCTTGTGCCTCGTGCGACAATATTTCCCACTCGTGTGAAAAATGTCACTTTCCACACTCGTAATGTAATATACTATTTTAAATTATCAGTTTTAAATTTATATTGTCTTTTGTCTTTTATATTTAAAAATAAAAACAGATTTTTAAAGTTTACATTGGTTTACATAGGTTTTATTTTACTTTGTAACCCCGGGGCAAGCAAAATCAGATCCTTTCCTGAAAAAAGGTCCTCAGGCAAAATCAGATCCTTTCTTAGTGATATCTAAATAAAAAAAAAAAAAAAAAAAGGTTCCTCAAACCAGGTCCTCCCTTTTGTTACGAACTTCTAAAAACATAAACCGCCTTCAGCTAAAGCTGCCGGGAATAGTATGACTATTATTTTCGCGGAGCTCCCACAGAGGCTTTGCGGAGCCCCAGGGCTCCGCGGAGGACACTTTGAGAAACGCTGCCTTAAATAATTATTTGAAGTAGGTCATTCAGTCAATAGTATAATGTTCAATGAAAAATGTGAGAGATTATTTATTAATTACCTTTGTACGTGCTATTTCTGTCGTTCCATAACAATATTTTTGTTATAAAAAATATCACTTCGCTGAAAATTTAAAATCACAAGACTGGTCTAGTGGCAGCTTATTTGAAAGTGTTTTTAATTTTATGTATAACAAATGTGCATAATTATCAAGGCATTATTTTTGTCACCTTAAATTATTATTCAAAAATCGTACGTTAATGTTCTAGAATTAAATTACTAATGTAACGAGTACAAATTTCTCTGTAGCCATAGAAACCCTTCAAACGGGCTCATACACTACCATCAATTTAATTTTAAAATTTCAAGGAAGTACCTTTCTATTCTGTTCGTTAAATGCAGAGACATAACATACACCGGTGTTTAACCTGCGCAAATCTTGCCAATTTCTAAAGAAAGGTTAACGGAGTGGGGGAACTGGGCGGCGACCCGAACTCTATGACAGGCACCGGACTTTGTTTATTAGCATCATAATTAACTATTATAATTGTTTGAAATATATGTTTAGTGGAATTTTGTATTATAAAATAAAATTAAAGTGATTTTTTAATATCAAACAGATGTCACAACATTTTATGTAAAGAGAAGACCTTTTATAGAATATTTTGTTAGCGTTTATTTACTACGGACTTTTCTGCAAGAGATTACATTAAAATGTTGATATAGAGTATTGTTAATAGAGCAAGAAATGGTACTCATTGTTAACGAGTATTATAAAAAAAGCATGTGCGCAGGCGAATACTGCAAATCTAACCTTATGAGTTAAACATTACATTTTTTCTACGGCTATTACATAATATTAAAAATTGGTCAAAATGAGAAAATGCTGTTTTGTATTGTAACTTTAGAAAAAGGTATATTAAGGCTTCTTTAAAAT